CATGGGGAAAAAGGAGCAGGAGTCAGCAAATCGGCCCTTTGAGCTTGCTCTGTTATTCAATATGATCATAAATGTTCAGCCAACTCAGTATCCTGGTCCTGCTTTCTCCCATACCCTTTGATCTCTTTAGCACTTCAATAAAAATTTAACATTATGGTTTCAACTGCTTTCAGTGAAAGTATGACTATCCAGTTTATATTGCACAGATGTACCACTGGAAAACTCTAGGATCATGCTGTGCATAAACAGATACTGGACAATGGGAGTCAATTCTGAAGTGTGAAGAACACATGGTTCAATTACAACCACCAGTATCACTGCCAGAGTATCACTGCTTCTGAGCAAAGAAAATATTTTAATGACTTGTAGGGAATGCAAGGGTGGAGGACACCAGAGGCTCTAGTCATTGTCCTACTTGATTTTAGGAGTTGTGTCACAGGACTAGAGAATTCCAAATATTCCACCTCTTCAAACAAAAGGGGAAGGGGTACACTCAGTAAGTGCAGCCCAGCTTGTTAAGATAAATCATGTATGACAAACTGAATTGAGTTTTTCAGTATATAACAGAGGGCAAAGCGTTTATGCAGTTTCTATTGAGCATATGGACTGCATCATATAAAAAGACTCACTAGTAAAGACTATGAGTAATTGGACAGAAACAGTATGGATATCAAATAGGCTAAGAGACAGGATGCAGAGAATAATGTGAAAGGAGAGGTATATTCAGTGCTATCACCCAGGAGACTGGATTAAAACCAATACTGTTTTGAAATATCTTAAAACGATTAGAACTTGGATGCAGTCGATGTCAAGACATGGATATGTTATACACTAAGAAGAATGTTAAGAAATTGAAAAAGGAAGTCCAAAGTGATGTATTTTCAAGGAAGAATGAGGACAGTCAATAAATTGTGTAATATTCTACTGTATGTGTCCTCTGCCTGAAAGCAGGTCCTTAGCTCACGATGATAGCCTGATAATTCATCCTGAGCCATTTTTCCTAGTAGCATTTTTTTTGTCAGTGACGGTTTGACTACAGAGTAAAATAATATAATTTTAAAGTGATTGTGGAAAAAGAAAGACATGGGATGTACACACACAAAACTCTGAAGGGGGTCAGGATAAGGTGATAAAGTTGTTAAGAAAAAGCATCTGGGATCTTGTGCTTTCAGAATAGAGATACAGTTCCAGATACTGGGCGGCATGGTGGTTAGCACTGCTGCCTCACATCGGCAGAGACCCAGGTTTGACTCCAGCCTTGGCTGAATGCTTGGAGTTTGCGTGTGGGTTTCCACTGGGTGTTCTGGTTTCCTCATACAGTCCAAAGATGTGGAGGTTAAGTGGACTGACCACACTAACTTGTCCTAGAGAGTCCAGGGATTTGCAAGCTAGGTGAATTAGCCATTGTAAATGCAGAGGTGGGGGCTGGGGGTGACAGTTCTGGATGGGATGCACTTTGAAAGTTCGTTCAGACTCAATGGATCAAATGGTCTCTTTCTGAACCGTAGGAATTCTACGATTCGACCATTAGCAAAGTGACAACACTCATCATTGGTCTTGAAGGAAGCTGCTGCAAGGATCTGGTGATCTCTGTATTGAGTGCATTTTCTTTGGCCTGACATTTGTTTGTATCTGATGCAAAGTCAAAGTACTTCCATGTATCCAGCAACGCTAACATATTACGACAGATGAGGCAACCAATCATATTTAAGTATTCTAACAGACAGCAAACCAGCTAGTAAAGCGCAGTGTAAAATTTTTCTAAGGGGGGAAAAAAATCAGTGTGTGAAATAAATAATTGGGGCATATAAATGGTACTAAGGTAGAAGCTGAAGCTAAAGTAACATTAATAGATTTAAAAAGTGAACATCATAAGGCAAACGTGACGTTCAGAAATATTTTTTACAAAACTTTTTTCATGGTCAATGAGGTTGTTCTTCAGTACCTGTAACCTATTATGATATTAAAAATCTACATACATTTCATTCAGTAAGCTGTACCTTTTCAGGACTTTTTAAACTAGCTTAATCAAATAAAAGAGCAAGAATTTCCAACGAGTTGATTTCCACTTAATGGGGTCAGGGAGTATCTACAATAGTGCACTCATTGAAGAGCAGAATCACTGACAACAGCTTCTCAATTTCCACATTCAACCACACATGGTCAGATCCCCAAAAGTTGTTGTCAGTCCACAGAAGCAATGATAGCAAATACAATCATTAATACTACAGAGACAAGACCTGAAGAGTCCAGAAACAAGAAAGGATTATTAAAGCTTCAGAAATCATTGGTAAGGGGGTCAACTTATATTTTAGTGATACAAGATGATGAATTTACTAGAATTGCAACAGGAATGCGAGACATCAGAATTGTAGGACTGTTCTCCTCAGGTCAAGGATTTAGTTTCAACACGTTAAAATTATAGTAAATGGGGCAAAATTGTATATCCGACAGGAAAGGACACGAATTTGAGGTAACTATTAAAAGAACCAGAAGCAACATTTGCACTGAGTAGTGATCTGCAACCCACTGCATGAAAAGGTAATGGAATTAGTTTCAATATTAACTTTGAAAAGAAAGTTGAATAAATACTTCAGGCGAAAAGGAATTTGTAGGTCTATGGGGAGAAAAGCTCAATATAATAGGACTAAATGGGTCACTCTTTCAACAATCAGCAGGCATGATGGGTTATTGTATGCCTGACAGCCTTTTCAGTGCTATTTAACTTTTTGATTCCACATAATATTATAAAAACAGATCATACTGTCAGACAAATATGCGATAATATGTTGTGATGATCTATAAATATTGAAATATGCTTATAAAGCATTTCACAAGCTGGTAAAAGTTTCCAGAACCTCTGGCTACACATAAATCAAGGGAATTAAAACATGTTTAAGACACCCAACATGTTATGAATACCACACCACTGACAGCCAGTTTATAAAAGCTGCAATTCCAGCACTTTCTTCAAAGTGAAAGATGTCAACTATTATTTCAGAATAATTAAAAACTGAAATCAGAGGAGCGAGGTGTGCGGTCACAGGACTGGACGGGATTCAATTGCCCATTACCGGTTGCTAATAAAGCAGCTTTCACAGCCACAAGAACCTCACTACTGCACCAATTTGCTCAGATAATCTGAAGGAAAGCTGCACCAGAGGGGTTAAAAGCGTAAACAGCCAAATATTATAAACGTAGATATTGTGGTCCCGGTATCTTTCTATGGTTTGGATATTGCACACCCCAATCTAGTATTGTTTCAAAAAGTGTGTATCTGAAAAAACAAGTAGCTTTAATTTAACATTTGTAAAAATATGTGCACACGAGATGCAAGCATTGCCAGTACAGCCAGTTTCTGTTGCTCATCTCTTATAATTACCCTTGAGGAAGTGATGGTGAGCCACCTTCCTGGATCACTACAGTCTGTAGAAGGCAGGTAAACCCACAGAGCTGCTGGGAAGTCCCAGAATTGTAGGCATTTGTTCAATTTCCTTTCTCTCCACACTCACACCACCCCTTTTATCCCTTCCGTATACCGTTCCCTCAACCATGCACCTCCCGACAAACACCTCCATTCAAACCATCTGACGCCTTCACACTCCAACTGTACCTTTCTCCCATCAACTTACTGCACACCCTCTTCACTGATTGTAATCTTGTCTTCCCATCACCGACCAGACCCTCGCAACCTTCTGCAGTACCACCCACCCTCGCAACCTTCTGCAGTACCACCCACATACTCCACCCTTTGGCCCAACCCATAGCTCTCTTCCCATCATTCCACCGCATCCCTCCTCAAACCCTACACACATGCCCATACCCTCCTCTCATCAACCCATCTGCAACCCTGCATCCCTCATCCGCACTGTCTGTATTTTTGTCCAGCACTCCCCTCCCATCATCTAATGGAATTCATTCCTACAGCATCCAGGGAGCCCCACCATCCTCTGTCCAGCCCCCTTCCCAGCCCAGCACCTCTCCCGCTGCACACCAATTGCAACCTCTGATGTACTTCTCTCATTACATCCCACACCTCTATTCCCTCCCTCGTCCTCTGCTCAAATTCTCTGATCTCCCACTGGCCCTCTCCTTTCCCCCTCGTCCCTGTCCCTTTCCCAATCACTCAACAGCCATATTGGCAATAATTCCAACAGGGAACTAGAATCTGTAGTGATTTCACCATCTGTGGCCCATGGCATGATAACTGGAGCATTCCCTATTTGCGGTGCTGCCTGAGATCAGCTGAAGTGACAAGGGACCACGAATCAAATCGGGACTCTTCCCCGAACCTGTGTTGCCCAGTCCAGTCCCACCACTGAAGCCCCTTATTTTACTTCCTGAGATTAATACCCTGCGGGAGTCTCATTGCTTTAGCAGGACATTAACAAGGTGCATCCCAACCCCCTCCCTTCTGGCCAGAGGATAAATACTCACAAATAACACACACTCATTACAGAAATGGGTGACTCTACGAGGTTAGCCAATGTTTGCCCAGTGAGCCATTCCAGAGTGTAGAGCTGGATGAACACAGCAGGCCAAGCGGCATCAGAGGAGCAGGAAGGCTGAC